TTCTTTGCTCCTTCTCAGCACAACATACATCTTGATGCACACATCCCATCTTGCCCTGTTTCAGTGGCTCTCCTCTAAAAATAAGTTCCAAGTTGCCTTTAATGCTCTGGATTTCACAACATTTATGAGACTAGCACCAGAGTCAACAGGCTAAAAAAAGAATCCATTAGCATTAACTGGCCTGTCACTGGCAGTGACAAATAAATGAATTTGATGGTTTTAGATCAGTCATTAGTAGACCTACCCCCGGGCTGATAAAGGCTCAGCACTTTGCAGAGGAGATGTACTCAATCTGGAAGCAGAGAGGATGCACAGGGGTGTTAGCATGCTGCTCTCCTTCCATTTCCCTGACCTCCCTACCTCAGAACCTTTCCTGGCATTTTCAAGTGCACAAAAGTCACCTGGTAGATGCCATTAAAAATAATCCAACAATTCAGGAAAACACAGGCAATGTAGAACCTCCTTTTTAAAAAAAATCCCAGGTCAGACAGTGTTCAATTTTAATTTTTAGTTAGCAGCATGTCAAAGGGAAGGAAAGTACATTAGGACTATTCCTAACATGAAAGACATCCTTAGGCAATGAGAATGGAAATACAGACATTTTAACAAGCACAAGCCAGTCTGTGGGGATTCAGGACAACATGAACAATCTACCTGAGTGATTGGGGAGAAGAAATACATGTTTACATCTCCAAAATACAGCAGGTACAGAAATCCAGCTCAGCTCCTGCTTCTGACAGAACTCACTGCACTCCACAGAAGGCCCTGCACAGCCCCTTCTTCCTCTGGCTGTGACACGCAGGGACAGAGGTCACCCTCTGCCACAGCATAGAGAGCACAAACCCCAGCCCACAGACAAGGGTTCCTAAACCCTGTTCCTCCACTGCCTGGGTTCCTAAACCCTGACCCTCCACTGCCTGGGTTCCTAAACCCTGACCCTCCACTGCCTGGGTTCCTAAACCCTGACCCTCCACTGCCTGGGTTCCTAAACCCTGACCCTCCACTGCCTGGGTTCCTAAACCCTGACCCTCCACTGCCTGGGTTCCTAAACCCTGACCCTCCACTGCCTGGGGCTGTGCTCACTCAGACTCTGAAACTTTTCCACTGGCCCATCCAAGCCAGAGGGAAGCAGATTCCAGGAGCAGCTTACCCTGCACCAGGGATCCAAGACACCCAAACAGTGGCCGTGGACCACCCAAAGAAATCCCCCAGACCATCTGGGAAGGACTTCACACTGCTCTGCACACAGATGGCACCATGATTATCATCGAGCTACTCATCCAGGCCTGATGCCAAGATCAGGAAATACTTCCTCTCTTACTCCACCCAGACCTGCAAATGCAGGGGAATCTAAAAAGAATCTTTTAAAATTGTTGGGAAAAGGTCTGACCTTGCTGCTCTTTACAGCCTGGTGGGGAAGGAAGGGTGGGCAGGAAGGGAAGAATCCTGAGTTCTGCTACTGTGTCCAGTTCACTCTCTTTTGAGAAAAAAAAAAAAAAAGAAACTTCAAAGTCTACCTAACAACTAAAATAAGATGGGAAGTAGTAGGACTAACCTGGAGGAGTTTATAGGCAGAAGCAGGGGAGAAAACAAACAGAACTCTTGATTTTCAAGGTCCATCATTTGCTTTGGAATAAAATCTCTCCCTGCTACTCTGGCTGAGGCTTATCAGACAGCCAAGGGACGTCACACCCCACCCACAGCTAACTTAATTGGAATCAGACATCCAAATCCACTGGTTAGCTTTAAAACACAATCCCAGGTTAGCCTGGGTGCTATCCCCAAAGGCCATGCCCTCCATTTGCTGCTCTGGAGCAGGCAGCTTCCCAGTCCCACGCCAAAGGAGAGCTGCTGGCACTGCCTCCTGCCCAAGAAGGACCAGATGTGCACAACTGCTCAGACAGTGCCCAGCAGACAGGAAACCCAGCTGGCCACGGGCACCGCGTGGATCCGGGGCTGGCTGGGGCACAGGGGGCCAGGACAGTCCTGCACCAAGCCCTGTGATGAATATTCTCCAACCCAACAGAGCAGGGAACATCAGAAATGGCAGGCTATGTGTAATAGTGAGTCAATTATTGTGGTCTTCAGTATTCTAAAGGGGGGTACAAAACTCCTGGCACCCCATCACTGCTGCGTTTGAAGGACTTGTTAAATCAGCAGAGTTACAAATGATCTCCTGTTACAGAGTGCCTTCCAGCACTGGAAGCAAGGCAGATTTTTATCAAGGAACAGCAGCCCCGAGGAAGGAGACATATATTCACCAGAAGCCCAAGGAGCTCAACCCTGCAGCAGATTTCCTGAAACAACAGCTTCAAGTGGTGCTGGCCTTCCCAAGGAGAGCAGGATTGCACAGCCGGGAAGCCAGGGGAGGCACTCAGGAGGGTTTCTGCAGGCTCATTCTAAGGAAAGCAGGGAAGAACGCTGGGCTGTTCCAACCTGCCACTGCCGGCTCGGGAGCATTTGCATCACCAGAGAGGTGTGAAAACCCGAAATAAAGCGTTTCACTGGGCTGGGGCTGGAAAGGGCAGGGCTGGGCAACTCCACCGGATCGGGAGGGGAGGAACAAGTGAGTGTGGGCTGGAAAAGGCAGGGGCAAAGCCCAGCTGTAAGGACAGGGATGGATGATGGATGGATGGATGGATGGATGGATGGATGGATGGATGGATGGATGGATGGATGGATGGATGGATGGATGGATGGATGGAGGCACGAGAAGGGGGAATGCACCCCCAGCCTTGCTTCACCCCAGCCCCCAGCACTGCCAGGAAAAGCACAGGAAAAGAAAAAACCCCAAACAAATCCCCATTTTACTAAACATACCAGGAAGGAAGATTACTCAGGGAAAAAAACCAAAACAAAACAAAAAACAAATTCTCTCCTTGCACCTAGAGAGACAGAGACATTTCATTAAATGCCATTAATCTCCACAGACCCAAGCATTAGCTAGTTAATTAGACTAAAGTACAGTCACATTTTAACGCTGAGCATTCGCTATTCAACTGGGATAAATGAACAAGTAAAGTCCAAAACCTTAATTCAGTATCTAATTAAAAGAACAGAAAACAAAATATTCAGATTATGAAATGGTTGCCAGAATAATACATCGTAATTGATGTAAAATCTGCTCTTTATTGCATCTGATTTTCTCCAGTCTCCAAATCAGGCTGTTTTCAATCTTCAGATTTTTTTCAAGTGCCCCGTAGAAATCCCAACACTTTAGAAAGGACAACTGTGTAAAAAGCAGCAGCAGACACTGCTGACCTCTCCAGAGAGAGCGAGCTCCTGCTAAGAGTGGAATTTGATGTCCATTCCAGCATTTGCCCCACGCTTGAAAGATGTCTGTTACCAAAAACCAAGGGAAAAAACCCCCTACGTGTAGAAAAACAAAACCCCCTTTGTCAATACAACCTGATTTTGCATTCTTTAACGCAAAAATTTAAGTCACTAATATGCTCAACACAAAACACATCCTCGTTTTTTTAATTGTTAGAGAAGAAATCACATGGGACAGCTTAACAGCTCTGTTGTGCCCATTACAAACTTCTCCAAGTAACACTGTAGAAACAGATAACTGGCACTGAAGACAGTTTAAAATGTAAATTAACCTTTAAAAGGTATTGGGAAGGGGGATAGGCCCATCAAGCTCAAGATCAAAATTCTGTTAACTTTAAATTGTATATTACAGAGGGCATCAATCCAACAACATAATCCAGAAGCCACAAGCCCCACACACTATAAACTCTTTGCTCAGTGCAGAAGCAAGCCAGGCACACTATTATTCACCAATAAGTAATTAGATATGTCCTAGGAAGAAAAGAACCTCTAAACATTTGCCTACATTAGTCTGGTTTAAAATTCTGCGAGTAGGCTGTTGGGGTTTGCTCTCTTTCTTTTTTAAGAGCTCCCCAGCACCTCTCCTGTGCCATGCCTGGGGGGTTTGAAATGACACAGGGTTTTTCCTGGATGCCTGTTTTGTGCAATTCTTAACATCATGGTTCAACACACCCAGTTACACTGCTTGCTTTCATGAGGAGCTGTATGCAATAACAGTTCAGGCTTCTGGTCAGGTAGTTTCCCACCACCAACTTTAAACCTCTCTTCCTTATTGACTTGCATGTACAACTTTGCAGCCTTTTTCTCCCGTTTTTACCAGAAGACTGAAGTTACCCAAGATGACAAGTGTGTACACAAGTGCCATAGATCAGTTAAATTAAGTTTTTCCAATAGACTCTCAAAAACAAATTTAAAAAAAGTCAATTGCAAAAGTTTTCTTTCAGCCTCTGGCTTTCAAAATCCACACGCTGCAAGTCTGGCTTTGAAACTGATTTGTTTTCATTAGGCACAACCTAAAGAGCAACAAGCACTTGTATTCCACGGGCAGCTCCTGCAGGAGAAACGGCACCAGGGGCACTTGGAGGGAGCGCAGGGGCACAAGGGCCTGGGTCCCTGCAGGTCCCCGTGCCACGGCCAGGAGCGGCCACTCCATCGCCAGGCCACTGCTCCAGCCAGCCTGACCAGCTGGACACTCCTCACAGCTGGACACTCCTCACAGCTGGACACTCCTCACAGCTGGACACTCCCAGAACAGCCAGCAGCCCCCAGAGCCTCACCAGGAACTGCCCTGCGAGCCTTACACACAACTCCGCACACATCTCTTGAGTTACACAAAAGAAAATTTGCAAACAATGAAGGCAGAGATAGATCCCCATCCATCACAACCACAGAACTGAAAGCTCAGCTCAAAACAAGCCTGAAGCCTGCACTTAATCCAAGCACTGTTCATAAACCCAGCCCGGCGCCCAGGCACCGCTCCCGCTGCCCAGCCCGACCCAGCAGCTCTGCACGGACCCAGAGCAGCCTCCTGGGCCTCAGCCACGCACTGACCCCCCCAGCAGCAGCTTTAAAAGCTTTCATTGCCAATTCCCCGGCTGAAACCCGAACTGCCTGGCAACAATGATTCTCTGTGTGCCTGAAATCCTATTATCGATCCTCCTACTTACCTTGGGCTGTGCTCGTCGGGGAAACGCAACTTTAGGGTCAATCTGAGGAAAAAGAAAGGGGAAATCAACAGGGTAGCTTTGGTTGTCATTTCACATTATTTTGATTTTAAATCACTGAATTATTAATCCCTCATTTCTCAGGCTTGCAATTCAGCACACCGGGTCATCCAGAGCTACTCTGGAAATGATAGGTCACAGTCTGGGTTTGTCTGGGGAGTTTGGCAGGGGTGGGGAGATGGGAAGACAGGAAGAAAACACCTGTCCTGCACTTCTCCTCCATCATCTTCTGGGCAGCAATCCCCGTGGGTGCTCAGGGAGCTCTGGACCACCACCAAAACTGCATGTTGACGACTACCCACATGCCCTAGAGGTTGCACAGAAAGAGGGCCAGCATTCCTGACCAACATCTTAACTTGGTGGCTTTGACACCTGCCCCTTCCTGCACTTAGGTTTACAGTTACTTCTTTTTTTCTGCTTTGTTTTGATAACTGACAAGCAACACCATACAAAAAAGGAAAGCAAAGTCAAATTATTCACATTTCAATCATTAAAACTGAAACATTTGAAGGACTCCATAGTAATATGCCCAACTGATGAGATTTACTCACTCTCAAAGAAAATATGTGAGCAATAGAAAGCTCCAAAGGGGCATTTCTGGGCTGGGGCGGGAAGGGAGGGGAGTAAGGTACAAACGAGTTTCATGTGTGTAAATATACACGCACTGAACTCAAAGTAAACAACTTCCTAAACAAGGTTTTCCATTAAGGAGTTACTTGAACTATCCATGTATGAAGCACGTCACCACAGACAAAAAGAAAGGGGGGAAAAAAATCCTTGCCTTACCCCCCTGGCCTGTTTTAAGATGCAGCGTTGGCTCCCCTTGCGCTGCATGAATTAGCACGTCCCTCTGCATTCCCAAATGCTAATTCTGCAACCCCACACAACTTCCACGGGGGTCATCTCTAAGAAGGGACTCCTCTCTCCCATTCAAAAATTACACGAAACCAAAAAGGCACCGCCGCAGACACAAAGAAATGGCAGCCGGTGGTGTTGGGAGGGAGCAGGCAGCTGAAGGCTGGATGTAAACAAAACCACCAGACCTTCCACCAGCAGCTCCCCTACATCGCCATACAGCGCCTGTGCGCTGCCGGCTTCGCTGCTGGCTCTCAGCAGCACCTGCACACAGGCATCTTCCACAACAAGGGTCTGGAAAAGGATGTGCTGAAGTACTGGATCCTACCTGAACCGTGCAACCTGCAACTGCTTTCAGTGCTGTCCTTGCCTGTGCAACCAAGTGATGCCACTAACGCTGGCAGTGTTAAGCATATTCAGGAGGACGGGCTTTTTTAGAGTTTGGGACTGGCTTTTGTTGTGTTTCTCCCCCCTCAAGCAAACCCTGATGACGAAAAGGAGATGGTTCCATTTGGTATTGTTATTCCTGTGGTGATAAATATTCCTGTCACTGCTAAATAACCACGGGTCTCTCCTAAAAAGCAGTTTTACTCAATTAATTTGTCAAAATGGGAAATACCGCAGACATTTGATGTGCAACTGATAAACTGATTTGCCTCTATCAGATACAAATGTTGTACCTTTTTTAGGACACACCTGAGAAATGAGCGATTACATGCCATTTTATTGTTCAAAAAGCATAAAAAGTAAAATTATTTATCTAGAGAGCTAACCTTTTCATAGAGATTAACATTATCTACAAATATATTCAGCACTGACTAGGCATTTGTCTACTGGGGAAATACAACAGGTACGGATTTTCCACAGCAATACCCAAAGGTGGAAAAATATGCACTTTTCTACATTTGCTCCAAAACTAGAGGTTTTCCCACCAAAGAACACCAGGCCCACCAGAGGGACATCACTGCAAAGTCCTGCTGGTAAAAAGCTGGGAGAGCCATTAAACTCCAAAGCAACACATTCATTTTTGAAGGTCAGTTCAAAGAGCATGGAGTCCCTTGCACCACAGCGACAGATTTTCTAAAAGAACTGAATTTTCCTTCCCACAACCTTTTGCATAAACACCACCAGCCTTTGAAAACAAACACTAGCAACGAATGTGGCAAATCCATACCTTTTGCATAACCCTGTCAACTATTTAAACAACAACCAAAAAGAAAAAAAAAAAAAAAAACAAAAACAAAAAACCAAAGTTCTACCAAAAAATTAGTTAGTTAGGTACAATTCTACTTACTGTATCTACAAGTCCTCTAGGAAATGACTATAATACTATTTCTGATATGAATGGCCATTACCTAAACAAAGCTTTTAACGTAACTGTAAACAAGAGCGACGTTTCCATGCCAATACCCAACCGATCTGCCTCCTGTGCTGAACGTTGAAACAGAGTCAAATGCCTTGTTATACTGCACAACAGTTACTACAATACTCTACAAATACACGCCTGAAAGGACCTGCCTGCCTCCGTGCTTCACTTTTAAGCTGAATTACTGATTCTAAGGTCAGTTTTGTATTTGGATTGATTCAATCATTATCACACAACCAAAACCAAGGCAGATTTGCCCCGGTGAAGCTCTTCACCCCTCCCCCAGAGAAGAGCAAATTAATACATTGCAGGGACTAGACTGTGATACAAGAAAAAAGCTGGGGGAGGACCTAATTATAGTCAGAAATATGACAGGGTGTCCTCCCATGATTTTTTTTTTTAAACTCTTGTTCAAGATACTGTTTGCCTTTGTTCTTCTTATCTAAATTTATCTTTAAAAACACATAGAGAATATAGCTGTACATGAAAAGTACGGCGAGTTTAATTTCAGGAGCACGGTTGAATCAGTTATCTTACCATATCTGATTAAACCTAAAATCAAATTATTAAGGCATGTGAAAGCATGGGCTTCATGTTCAGGCAAGCCCAGCAGAATCTGTAGGTCGAATTAAAACACTAGATTCCACCTGCTTCTACAAGAGCTTTAGGCTTTTTGTTTCCATATAAATTACATTTTTAAAAAAACACATCCTCATGTTTGCTCCCTGCTTCTCCCTTTCCTCACTAAACTATAATCCCGCACACACACAGGCACCCGTGAGATGTTGCAGCACCGAGACAGGATTGCTCCTAACAGCAGGCTCAGGTTAAAATAAACCCCTTAAGCCCCAGAACGCCGCCTGTAAACCCCAGTGACAGCAAGGAGCACGCTCGATGTGCCCAGCAGAATGTCTCTGCAGACAGCTCCCTTCCCAAAACACAGCCCCCTCCAGAGCCAGCAGCACCAGAGCGCTGATGACCTCTAGCAGTGTCCTTCCCCCCTCCCCTCCCAGCTCTGCCGAGGCTCAAAACTACAACCAAGTAGGAGGCACAAAACTTCATCTTTTTGCTTGGCCTTGCTCACAGGGAGAAAACAGGGCCCAGAGCTGCACTTGCCCGACACCTTTTGTTTGACCCAACACTGAAAGCACCACAATGGGGCAGGGGGCAAACTCAGGTGTGGAATTTTTGTTTAAAAAACCCCCTAAAAATGTAATGTTTATTTAAAAAAAAAAAAAATCAGCTGCATCTCCCAAGCATTTTTTTCCTCATATTATGCACTGGAGACTAAGCGCAGCAAAAAGCTCTGGAGAAACAACAACACATTAAGACTTGTGCTTCTCTACCACATCCACTCTCCAGCTCTTGCAGAGCTTCCCATAAATTACCGCGTGCATTTCGCCGGGGCCCTGCCATCACAGGTGAGGGGACCTCTCCAAAAAATGACTTTGGGAAATGACACGAGCAGCAGCAGCTTTCTCGGTTTGACAGTAAGTCACTCCCACCTTGAAACGCGCTCAACAATACATAAATAATCAATCAAAAGAATCACAAAGTTCCCTGCAGAAAGCACGCCGCAGCCCAACACCAAAAAAAGTTGGATTTTACTCCACGGCTTTTTCAATGTCACCGCTCAATAAAATATAAGGCCGGGGGAGGAGCCAGCGGTCGGTATGGGTGAATTCCGATTTAAAAAAAAAAAAAAAAAAAAAAAAAAAAAAAAAAAAAAAAAAAAAAAAGAAAGTTACCGCTTTTAGCAAGTTAAAACGCAGAGTCTATAAAAATATAAAGGAAAAGCCGAGGCACGCAAGGTCCCGGTTCAATGACAGTCTGGCACCGCCCGCGGCACCGGCCCGAGCGGGGCTCGGAGCAGCCGGGTCGCGTCCGCGGGTGCGGGAAGGGCGGCGGGCAGCCCCCGCAGCAGCACCTACCGTCTTGGAGTCCAGCTCGTGGTGCGGCTGGGCCAGGACTTTGTCTACACTCGCCGGATCCGCGAACGTAACGAACCCGAAGCCTCTGCGAGAGACAAAGAGCGAGGGGATGGCGGGGGGGGTGGGGGGGGTGGTGATGAGAATTAGAGCCAAAGGGAGAAGTCATAAAAATAAACCGCTGGGTCCCCCTCCTTCCACTGCCCTCCCCCGAAGCCTCCGGGAGCAGGGGCGGCCGGCTCCGACCCCCGGCCCCTCTCCGGCTCCACCGGCCGCTTTGTTTCCTGCTCCGGGCTGGAGGGATGCGGCCGGGGAGAGCCCTCCCGCAGCGCCCCACGCGTGCGGGGGGATGCGGGGCTGCGATTCTGGGCCGGCACCGGGGGCTGCGGGTCCACCCGCCCCGACCGCAACTCGCGAAGTTTGTCAGCCCGAGCGGGGTGGGCGGCGGTTTTACCTGGAGCGCTTGGTGGTGGGGTCCCGCATGACCATACACTCCCTAATTTCTCCGAATTTGCTAAAATAGTCTCTAAGGCTGTCTGCGGAGAGATAGCAGAGAGAGGGAGAGGAGGGTCAGGGATGGGGGGCGCGGGCAGGGCCCGGCCGGCGGGACGCGGCCCACGCGGGGCGGGACACGCGTGGGGAGGGGGCGGCGGGCGGGGGTTACCTGGTGAGGTTTGCCAGCTGAGGCCGCCGATGAACATCTTGCTGGAGGGAGAGAGCAGAGCGGAGTTGAGCGCCGGTGCGGGATCGGCCATTTTGACGGGGCAGCTCCCGGCGGGGCGGAGGGGCGCGGAGCGGAGCGGCGCGGAGCGGGGCGGGCCCGCCTGACCGCCCCTCACCGCCGCGCTCCGCGCCCCCGCCGCCCCGCCGACTTACCCGGGGTCGTGCTGCGCCTCTCCGGGGCTCCCCGAGGTAGCCTGGCTCCCGTCCGCCTCCATGGCCGCGCCGAGTGAGAGCCCCTTAGAGAACCCCCCCCGCCCGCCCAACCCGCCCCCCCCGGCCCGGCTCCGGCTCGGTTCGCTCCGCTTGCTTTGCCCCTTTTTCCCTTCCCCCCTCCTCCTCCTCCTCCTCCTCCTCCTCCCTCCGCTACCGGAGGATCTCACTGGAGAGGCGCTGGGGCAGCAGCCAGATCCGTCACACGTGGGATCGGCTTAGCTCAGCGCCGCGCCGGCGCTCCCTCCCCCCGCCGCCATCCTCCCCTCCCTCCATCCCGCCCCTCCTCGCGGGGGCGGGGTCTCCGCCGGCGCGTGGCCCTCTGTGACGTCACTGTGACGTCACCGCGCCCTCCCCGCGCAGCTACCGCCCCCCCCCCGCGCGCGTCCGTCCCTCACGCGTGTCCGCGACACCCGGGACTGTCCTCATGGCACTGCCCTCATTGGAGTGTACCCCGAGACTGTCCACAATAAACTGTCCTCATGGGAGTGTACCCCCGGGGCTGTCCTCGTGGGACTGTCCTCATGGGACTGTACCCCCGGGACTGTTCTCATGGCACTGCCCTCATTGGAGTGTACCCCGAAACTGTCCACAAGAAACTGTCCTCATGGGAGTGTACCCCCGGGGCTGTCCTCATGGGACTGTCCTCATGGGACTGTGCCCCCGGGACTGTCCTCATGGGACTGTACCCTGAGACTGTCCCCCGAGACTGTCCTCCCCCTCACGGGACTGTCCCCCTGAGCCCCTCACACCCTGTCCAGGCCCCCCGACCCTCACGAAGGGTGGCCTTTGGCTGAAACTGGCTGTTCCTGCCGGCCCCCTGCTCTGCTCCCCACCCCACACAGCCCAGCCAGGCGTCCGGGGACAATTCCGGGGGCTGGGAAGTGCCTGCTGGGTGTCCAGGAGAGGAAAATTAAATTTTAGGGACTCGGGAAATTTTCAGAGACATCAGTGGGTTTTGAGTTCCTCCACCTGTCCAGCACTGAGTGCCTCCCACTCAAAGACCTCCCAGCTCAGCAGCCAAGCCTGCAAGAGCTGTTTTGGGGTTGCCAACTATTTCCAGCTCAGGGATTATAATATTTTCACTGGGGCTGGGGGCAGTATGTGGATGTACTTTCCAGCAGGACTAATGAACAAGGTGGGAATGAGCCGACGTGCGCAGGGCTGGGAGGTCAGGCCCACTGGAGAAACACCTCTCTTCATGCTCTGATGCTGACCGCTGTAAAACAGGATATAATTCCCTTTATTTGGTTTGTTTTGCCATGAAGTGCTGAACTCTGGCTCAGCAGTGGGGCAGGCTCTGCTCCCTCAGAGCGGGCAGGGAAGAGGGGCTGACCCGGCCCTGCCCCAGCAGGGTGAGCAGCACCAATGTGCAAAGGAAATGGATGGGGGGGATTAAAGAACAGTCTTTTTCTCCCCCTTTGAGCTTCCTTTAGATCTTAGCTATTTCTTGTAATAATCACCGGGAAATTACTAGTCAGGAGAGCGGTTCCTGGGGTTATATTACCCCTTTAATCTCTCTGGCAGCGGTGCAGAATTTTAAAGGGGTTCCAGAATGAACAAGCACAAGACAGATTTTGCTGATGGACAGAAGGAACTTCAGTGCAGCTGCTTATGGCTCAGAAAGAAATTTTGATTGCTATATATTAAAAGGAAATCTCCACTGCTATCCCTTCCATCAGCAACATTACAGGTCAAACGGCTTTGGGAAGACTTTATCAGTACATTCTCTCTCCACCTCCCTCAGAGCTGAGGCTGGCTTCAGGGATGTGACCAGTTTCAATCTGCTCAGTCGGTTTTGCTCTTTCTGAGCACTCTGCTATCACAGCAGAAGCCAAACCCATGGCACCAGGGATGCTCTGGGGACATGCTGAGCACCTGAAGCCCAGGGGTGACAAACCAGGAGCTGCTGTCCTGCTCCTTTGGCAGCAGTTGACAGCACCCAGCCCCAAAGGTGCTGTTCCAGCCCCAATCCCAGATTTTCCTCCAGCCCACTGAGAGTTTGCAGGCTTGCCCTCTGCTCTCCTCCTCTCCAGCCTCTAATGTTCATGCTAAAAGTCCAAAGTCCCAGCGGAATTTGGGAAGTAGCTAATGAACTGCAAAGCTGACATCTGTAACTGCCGGCCAGGGATAACATTCTCCCTAGCTGCACAATTAAAAGTTGAAGCATTTGGTCCAATAACAAGGAAAGTTACTGCTATTGATTCAAACCAGCCCAGATCCTCCATGGTGGCTCTGCAGGACACAGGAATTTGGGACAATCACACCTGTCCACATACTCACGTAGCCCCTACTCTCATTAGCAGGTTTTAGCCTCACCAATTTCCTTTCAAATTTTACAACTCCCCTTTCATATCAGAGACTGAGATGCAGAGTTTGTTAGGATCAGCATTTATAAGGCCAAAAAGTGACATGAGACCCCAAATCTCCTTGGAGATACATGGGCCCTGAGAGCCTGATTTCTGAAACAAAGAGATCTTGGACTCCTAAACCTGCTGGGCATGGATTGGGAACGCTGTTCCAGGTATGGAAGTGGCAGGTCCCAATCTCCCAGACAGCAGTGTGTTCCTTGGACATCCTGTCTTTGCTGTGCAGCAATGCCAAGGGGCTGCATCCACCTCAGGCTGCCTGGAGAATGAGTTCATCTATCTGGGGCTGTAGAAATCTGCATTTATGTGTTGTATGCTCTATAAATTCAGTGTCATAATAAAAAGGATCTAAATCTTTACTGAATAATTCATTTTCACACATAGGGAAGGAATAATGACCTATATTACATTCCATCTATCATTTAGCAGGTTGTGGAGATTGATCGGCCGGTGGGTTTCGAGGTCCCCAGTGAGGAGCAGGGCCCTGCCTGCTGCCCAGCTGTGGCTTCACCTGACAAACATTATTTAGACAGAATTCCAGGGGGTGATATGCTGGGGAGCTGCCAGGAAGTCAAAGATCATTTAAAATGCAGAACATGACATTCCAAACAATCGGTGTTCTTGGTGCATCTCTGCCTCGGGCATTACCCCAGTGCCTGCAGCACCCACAGAGCCACACCAGGAGGGGGCTGTGCCAGCCCTGCCCCGGAGGGAGGAGACACAGCACAGGGCATGTAGGAGATGTCTTCAGGGTCTGTGGTGTCAGACTGGTCAGGGCTGCCTAGGTACCATCCACATCTCCCAAGAGCTGGGCAAAGACTTCCTGTGTGTCCCTGGGATTCACAGCAGAGGACACACTTTTAACTGCACAGCACTCAGCAGCTTTGGTTGTGATATCTCTAGACAAAATTTCAGCAGAGTGCAGACTTCAGGCGTTGGATATTTTTGATTTCATTTTAGGCTGCCCATCCATTAACGTCACCTGTGTTTCCTCGTGGTGAGCTCTACACCTCTTCTCATGTTGCCTGCCCCTCTGTTTCCACCTGCTCCATCAGCTGAAAGGAAACCACCAAACCCAACGCCCATGAGCACTGCCCAGCCCTGGGGCTCTCAGCAGCCCAGGGCCAGGCAGGAAAACAAACAAAAACCACTGAGTCTGGCTGCGCAGGAGGGAGTGACTTAAAAACACAGCAGCCAGTCCCTAAACAGGAATAGGTTATCCCAGAACCAGTAATTTTAGGGAAGCAGTACTGGTTCACACCTGGTGCAAATGTGGCTCTATATTTTGGGTAGACACTGGAGTTTTTCCCTGTCAAGTTCCAGATCTGCATCAAATTATTTCAGCATTTGCTAATGAAGACATTACACTGACCTTATTAAAAACATCGTGATTTTCATCTTAACTGAGAAAACAGCATTTTTTTCAACTGTTTCAAAAGAAGAATAAAACCCAAATATTATCAGGCCCATCTTTCATATGATAAGGGAGGAGGGGGAAGCTCTGCAAGGAAAGATTTCAAACCCTGCTTTGTTTTCGTCAGCTTTGAAATCAACAGACAGCCCTGAGAATTCTGTTCTTCAGAACCACAGTGTTTAATTCTATTTACTACTTCCAGGCAATTCTATATATACACACAGCGAAAAACCCAAGCAGCTCACTTTAAACAAATCCTCCTGCTTTTTTCAGATGTGTCATTCCTCCTGCGGGTAGGATTGCAGGATACGGATCAATTAAGTTAAAGCCAAAAACAAAGCAGGGAGGAGAGGAAGGGGAAGAGGAGGGTTTGTGCTGTCCCTGGGCAGCTCTCACTGCTGCATCTGGGGGGGTCACTGTCCTGTGGGCACCTTGGCCTCACCTGAAGGAGGGGGTTAGTGGGGAATTTGCCAAAGACTTCCCCAGCTCTGCTGTCTGATAGAGCAGCTGGAAATCCAGCCTCCCACTCCTGTGCTTGGACAGATCCACGCACCCCAAGTTAGCCCTTGTGTTGTCTCTCACCCTGGGGTGGACGGCGTTATGGCAGAAATCCCATTTCCTTCCCTCTCCTGAAACCAGGCTGTCTACCTTATTTCTCTCCCTGATTAATTTTTACCAAAGGCCTTTAAGAGCCTCTGATAAACTGCTCCCAAAGTCCTAACTAATATTATTAACTATGAATCTTCTCCTATAAATAATTCCCAGAAGTAGATCAATGCTACCACTGAGTCAATGGATTCACTGGAATCATTTCTTCCTATTACTCTTGGATTTTTTTCTCCCTGTCGCCACTAATCAATTATGATGATAAAACTACCCTGGAACACCCCCAAAATAAAGATAAACAGTGTGTATTATCAGAGGCTGGGGCTGTGTACAGTGTTGAAGATGCGTTACCTTCTCTGAGCCACATTTGTTTTCCTCTACAGACAGTTAAGGGGAAAAAAAAAGGAGGCCCAGTAAATGAATGGTCTGGTGTAACACAGCATTAATTCCCTGACCTTCCGCATTGGGTGACTAAGAATCTCAATCTCAATTATTCCTTTCATGACGGAATCTAAAATAGACACAGCAAGTCCTCACATTCTTGCTCAAAAGCAGGAGAGGTGGAATGAGACGAGTCAGCCCGATCACACTGAAACCACATCCATTATCAGTTCCATGTCATTCAAAAAAATCGACTGCGGGAGA